CTGGAACCTTCTTTTCCGTAGCTGATCAACACTCGCCCACCAGGCCTCTGCCTGGAAACCAGTTTCTCAGGTGAGCTTTTCCTCACTTACCCACCAAAGTTAGTATTTCCTACTTTGTGCTCCCAAATAACGCCAGATTATTAACGATAGTAACTGACTTTGTGCCAGGCGGTTCTAAGCGCCAGACATTTAATAATTTAATAAGATCATTATTTGGGGACAACTTGATGAAAATGAACTGTGGACTATAAGTTTCCTGGAGCAGGAATTGTGTCTGTACATGATCTGGATTTTTTTTTATGCTTTTATTGATGCATAATAATTAGACATCATAGATTCATTGTGACATATTTATAAGTGCACATGACGATCTTGGTTCCCAGGACTTCTCTATACCTCCATCCTCCCTCCCCCTGACCACCTTCCTCTTAATTACTTTTCTTTATTTATTTTTTAATTGATGTATTATAATTATAGATCAAAGTGGGGTTTGTGAGTTTGTACATGCACAGAGCATAACTTGGTCAGTTTTATTCCTTYTCCTTTGCCCTCTGCCTTGATCCCCTTTCTCTGCTCTACTAGTCTCACTTCTGTTTTCATGAGATCACTTTTTATTCCTTTTTTTTCCTGTAGTTTCCACATATGAAAGAAACATTTCACCCTTGACTTTCTGGCTTATTTCATATAGCATGATGTTTTCCAATTCCATCTATTTATCCATTTACCAGCAAATGATATTATTTCATTCTTCTGAATGGATGAATACACAACACACTCACACACACTCACACACACACACACACACACACACACACACACACCACATTTTCTTTTTCTTTTTTTTTTTTTTTTTTTGTTACCAGGTATTGAACATTGAACTCAGGGGTGCTTAACCANATGTTGACAAAATTATGAAAGCATGGAATATAACTTGTTCTAATTCAGCCCCCAGTACTTCCCCTTTCCCTCCCCTTTACGCCCTCTAGAGGGAAAAGGGTTCTCTTCCCTCTACTCTACTGATCTTTTGCTATTAAAGTTTTTTTTATTTAGTGTCTTATGGATGCKCATAATGGTGAGATTCACTGTGTGTACATATACAGGAAAGTCAGGTCAGATTCCTTCCACTGTCCTTCCCTATTCCATCCCTCCTCCCTTCCCTTCATTCCCCTTTGTCTACCCCACTGATTATTCTTCTATTCTTTTTTTAATCCCCCCTGTATTTTGAATTAGCTTCCACATATCAGATAACACTTTCAACTTTCAACCTTCAGGGACTGGTTCATTTTGCTTAGCATGATAGTCTCCAGTTCCATCCATTTACTAGTAAATGCCATAAAGTCTTTCCTCTTTATGGCTGAGAAATACTCCATTGTCACCCTAGATTTTGAAGTCACACTTGAGGACACACAAACACACACTCATCTACCACTTATCAAGAGGACTTTCATTGACTCATAATGATTCAAAATAATCTATCTTCAAAAGGACAAACTAAGCAGAAAATGTTTCTAAYACTCACTGCTCTGGAAATCTCTTTGAAAGTCTTCAGTTATACTAATYAATAATCCCCACTGAGGCATTCCTGAGCTTCAGGTAGCTAAACTGGTAAACACTACTGTATATGCTTATTAAAATGAAAAAAAAAGTGATTTTAGAGCTCTGTATTCTTTATTTTATGAACACAAAGGGTAGCCACTTTTTTCCAGCATACAGTAGGCACATTCAAGGTGATACAAAATGATTCTTCCACTCCTCCCCCCGCTATGGAGGGAGTCTGTTTTCAGTAAAGATGAGCAAACATTTGGAATTTACATGTGGGAAGACATTGGGATTACAGATTTCATTGCCAATCACTGGATATTTGCAAAGTTGAGATGTACTAAGGCCACTTAAAACAAGTTACAATCCTTATATAAGAAGGGAAAGGCCTGTCTTATCTTTACTACACATAGGGTAACAAATTCAATATCCTACTCTTCATTTGTTTGAATGGTTTATATTGTACACGCAGTTTAACCAAGTGTTATTTGAGCTGCTTATTAATATTAAATTGTTCTTGTCTTTCTACTTGTTATTTGTTCAAAAAGGAATTCATTTAATCAATGTAGCCATGAACTCCATTAAAAAGATCAGCAGTGTMAAAAGTATGTATTCAGCTCAAGTACTACTGAAAGCTATGTAGATATATTATTTATGGGAAAAACAAAATGTATATAGAAATAAAACAAAGTTGAGTTCAAAAAAAAAAAAAAGGCACCTCAGATGCTGGCAGGGGCCTTGTGGGCCTGTTACTCAGAAGTCAGAAGCAGGGAGAGATTAAATAACTGCCTCCCATTCCAAGATCAGAACTGTTGGGAGTTGCCCCGGCTCCAAAGACTAACTTCCCCATCCCCCAAGAAGAGCGGTCCAATGGTGAGCCCTGCTGGCTCACATGATCCTGCCATCCAATG